GCACTATTCCTCCCACTGACACCAATGATGGGGCACTATTCCTCCCACTGACACCAATGATGGGGCACTATTCCTCCCACTGACACCAATGATGGGGCACTATTCCTCCCACTGATACCAATGATGGGGCACTATTCCTCCCACTGACACCAATGATGGGGCACTATTCCTCCCACTGACACCAATGATGGGGCACTATTCCTCCCACTGATACCAATGATGGGGCACTATTCTCCCACTGACACCAATGATGGGGCACTATTCCTCCCACTGATACCAATGATGGGGCACTATTCCTCCCACTGACACCAATGATGGGGCACTATTCCTCCCACTGACACCAATGATGGGGCACTATTCCTCCCACTGATACCAATGATGGGGCACTATTCCTCCCACTGACACCAATGATGGGGCACTATTCCTTCCACTGATACCAATGATGGGGCACTATTCCTCCCACTGACACCAATGATGGGGCACTATTCCTCCCACTGACACCAATGATGGGGCACTATTCCTCCCACTGATACCAATGATGGGGCACTATTCCTCCCACTGACACCAATGATGGGGCACTATTCCTCCCACTGATACCCTCGGCTTATACTCAAGTCAACAGTTTTTCCCAGTTTTTTGTGGTAAAATTAGGTACCTCGGCTTATATTCGGGTCGGTTTATACTCGAGTATATACGGTAGTTTCACTTTTAGTTTGCAGCTACCTGAATGGCCCATACTGCTGGAAGGGACCATAGATGGGATTTAGAGCAGACCTCCCTCTCAGTTTAAATTTTAGGATTACTCATTATCAAATGTAATCTATCAGTTAAAGTGTAAATCCCCCCAAAACAAAAAATATTGAGTGCTGACAGTAGGGTGAGTTACCCATTGGTTTGAAATCAAAATTTAAAACCTAATTGATAGAGAAGTTTTAAATTTCCCTGAATATTAGATGAAAAGTTGGAAATGTCTTCAAATTTAATTGTAATTTTAACAAATCAGATTGGATTTAGAAGGAAAGGTGAAATTATGGTGTTTTTTTTTTTGTTTTTTGGTGGTTTTTTTTTTATAGATATATAGGCTTTAAATGGCCCCTGAGGGTTACAGAACCTATTTACCTAGCCTGGACCTGTTCTTGTGCCAAGCATTATCCTCCATTAGCCTCAATACTTTATTTCACAGAAAAAACAGACTGTGAAAATAAATTTAAAGTGTCAGTATACAGACAGCAATCAAATACACTCAAAAATGGGGGAAAGCAGAAATACATGAAATAAACTAAACCACCCTTCTTCTTTTACTCACCCTCTTAATAAATAAAGGCAAAAATGAGTAGCTGAAATAAATTTTACATAAGCAGCTCATTAAGAAAAATGGAGAGTTTTCACTTTGGTGAAACTTCACAGATAAATCAGTTTTTCTATAGGTAATCTATTCACTCCTATTTATTAACTTGAATTCTGACTGGACTCTATGGTGGGATTTACTAAAACTGGTATACATAGATTCTGGTGCAGCTCTCTACAGAAACCAATCAGCTTCCAGGTTTTATTGTCAAAGTTTAATTGAACAAGCTGAAGATATAAGCTGATTGGTTACTACACAGAAGAGCACCAGTTTTAGTAAAGCTCCCCTTATGGGTTAATGCAGTCTGCCTTACGCTGGTTATTCAATCAATTTATATATGAATGGTTTGTATTAGACATGCATTTTGTAAAGAACTGATTTTCGGACAAAAATGTGATTTTTGGAGATTCAAATATATACAAATCTCTGAATGGACATAGTAATGAATATCAACAAATCTGAAAAAAGTTATGAAGAAATTAACAAATGCATTTGTTTCATACGGATGATGTCACATGATGCAATAGTAGTTCGGGCCCATGGCAAAACAAATAAATTTGCAAACTCATTTGATAATTCAGATTTTGATAACGAATGGATTTGAATTTCAAATTCTGGTTGTGCTGTCTGTGGAGTGCCCAGAAGGCCATAGTGCTTGTGCAGTAAAGTAAGATTGTGATTTAAATTGATTCTTAATTATCACAGTCAGTCTGTTCAGCTCCATAGTCTAATGCAATTCTTAGGTTTGAAAAATTTAGGGCCGTCAAATTTTTCATTATTTATTCTGTTGCAAAAATATTGAATCCTTTCAAATATATCGAATAGTTTCAATATAACACAAACTAATATATAGCAATTGTCTGAAAAAAACTGCAACATTTTTCAAATCCACCCAGACCAAAGCATATACAAAACAAATGCCAAATATAAGAAAACAAATTGGTTCAAAATAATGAATATAAAAAAACTAAATTCTTCAATTAACAAATGCATCCGAAATGAAAATTTCCAGCGTGCACATATCTAGTTTGTATATCTATAGTTAAATACAATAAGTCTGCAAGAGTGGTAGCATTAGATGCTAGGCAGATATACTGTAAATACTTGGCACTGTTTGGAATTCTGCATCATTCTAAAGGGTATGTAAGGAGGAAGTATAAGAAAACAAATACAATATATTGCTGCAATTCTTTTTTTTCTTCTTTCAAAGACTCCCAGTTATGAGTCTTAGTTCTGTCCTCTTTGTTTTTGCTGTCTACATACCCAGGTTGTGGAATTAAATTGCTTGATTAAACATAATACACATAAAATTGTATAAAATATACAATTTAAACACTTCACAATATGTAATAGGCAGTGCAGTACTGCAAATAAACTTCCAGTCAGTTCTTTCTTCATTGCTTTTGATTCATTAGAATAAGTAGGTGACATTTTTCACATCTTAATTGGGGTTTTGCTGATTTTATCAGAATTTCTGCTGATGGAGGCACAATGGCTATTTATTTATTTTTGCAATGAAGCTAACTGTTCAGTGCATGCTTAATGTACTGTAATGAATTTTAAACATCTTTCTGCCCAGATTACAGTTTGAATTTGCCTCCTTCAGCTGTCTCTATTTTGTCATTTTAAAGGTTCCAAGTAATTCAAAGAAATTAGTTGCCATTCTGAAAAATTTTATAATTTTCACATACCATGGATTTGCCTTACAAATTGCTATGCACGTGTTTTCAGTAGCAGGATTTGTAATATAAATGTTATGGAAAATGTATTCATTATTGTATTGCCATAATTCCACATGTTTTGTCTTTGCCCCAAGACAATATGGAATCTCAAGTGTAATCACATGAAGTTTTCCCAGTCACATTGACACACAGGAAGCCAGAAGACCACATTGTGGCTGGTCCATACAGATTTAATTGTGCTTTATGCTTGCCATTATTTTTCCTCTGTAGTACTTCAGTCCCCTGTTAAATGACAGTAAGATATTTTAGTTTTAAAAGGGGTTGAACACTGAATCATTTGTGGGGGTAGGGTTCTCAGTTTTTGGAACCTCTCTTCAGATATAGTGCTCAGCATAAATGAGTACATCTCTTTTGAAAAGTAAGATTTTAATCAATATTTCCATCTGCACCTCCTCCCTTGGCAAACTTATACACTCCCACGGCTTCAACTATCACCTCTACGCCGATGACACACAAATTTACCTCTCCACCCCTCACCTCACCCCCTCAGTCTCCGCCCTCATCACCCACCTCCTAAATGACTTATCAGACTGGATGTCGCTCCATTTCCTTAAGTTAAACCTTTCCAAAACTGAGCTCTTAGTTTTCCCCCCAGCCCACGCCCCCCCCCATCCTCTCCATCACGACCAATGCCACAATCAATCGCACCCCGCAAGCCAAAGTCCTAGGTGTCACCCTGGACTCAGACCTTTCCTTCCAACCTCATGTCCAATCATTAGCTAATTCATGCAGGCACCACCTACGCAACATCTCCAAGATACGTACTTTCCTAACCCCAGACACCACTAAACAACTCGTACACTCCATTATTATGTCACGTCTGGACTACAGCAACTCCCTTCTCACCGGCCTACCCCAACGCAGGCTATCCCCGCTTCAGTCTATCTTGAACTCAGCAGCTAGACTCATCCACCGCACCAACCTATCCACTTCTGCCACCCCCTCTGCCTATCCCTTCACTGGCTCCCGATTGCCCAACGCATTAAATTCAAATTACTAACTCTGACATACAAAGCCATCCATAAAGCTGCCCCAAACTACCTCACTGACCTGATACCCAAATACCACCCTACTTGCACCCTTCGCTCTTCACAAGACCTCCTACTTTCTAGCTCCCTGGTCTCCTCCTCCCATGCCCAACTGCAGGACTTCTCCAGGACTTCCCCCATCCTCTGGAACTCCCTACCCCAATCCATCAGACTGTCACCTACCCCTCCTCACCTTCAGGTGCTCCCTGAAAACCCACCTCTTCAGGGAAGCCCACCCTCACCTAACAGCCATTCTCCTCCACTCCTCCTACCATTCCATCCCCCACAGCCACTTCCTCCTGTACCTCTACCCCCTCCCTCCTAGATTGTAAGCTCGAAAGAGCAGGGCCCTCGAACCCCTTGTGTATTGAATTGTTACTGTATTGTCTTATGTACTGTCCCCCCACTTTATTGTACAGCGCTGAGCAAACCTATTGGCGCTATATAAACACCGTATAATAATAATAATATCTCAGTGAACACAAGAACAATTTCCAAAATTTTGACAAAACTGAGTTTTATAGAACATTTGTTTAGCTCATTAAATGAAAGTAAGGTTAGTAATCTACTAAAATTACAAAATTTCAGTTTTACTCAAATTAGTTGATGCAAAATGAATACACCCCACAACAAAAACTACTACATCTAGTATTTTGTATGACCTCCATGATTGTAAGTCTTCTAGGCATGGAATGAACAAGTTGGCAACATATTGCAATATCTAAATTTTTCCATCCTTCAAGAGCGACTTCTTTTAGAGCCTGGATGCTGGATGGAGAGAGTGATGCTCAATTTGTTTCTTCAGAATGCCCCATAGGTATTCAATTGGGTTCAGATCAGGAGACATGTATGGCCACTGAATCACTTTCTCCCTTTTCTTCTTCAGAAATGCAACAGTGGTCTTAGATGTGTGTTTTGGATTATTGTCATGTTGGAAAAGTGCATGACAACCAAGGGTTCGGAGTGATGGTAGCATCTTCTCTTTCAATATAGAGCAGTACATCTGTAAATTCATGATAGCATCAATGAAATGCAGCTCCCCGACACCAGCAGCACTCATACGGACAAACAGAAAGGATACTGCCACCACCAAGTTTCACTGTAGGCACCATGCATCTTTCTTTGTACTCCTCACCTATGCGATGCCATACAGTTTTGAAGCTATCAGTTCCAAAAACATTTATCTTGGTCTCATCACTGCAGAGTACATAGTCCTTGTAGTCTTCTTTTTCAGCTTTGGCCCTGGCAAATTCTAAGCAGGCTTTTTTGTGCATGGGCTTTGGGAGAGGCTGCCTTTGTGGACGACACCCAGGGCTGCCATTCCTCTGCAGTGTATTCCGTATTGTGTCATGGGAAACAATCACCCCAGTTTGACTTTCTACTTCTTTAGCCAACTGCAGTGAACTTGCATGGTGATTTTCTTCAACCATTCTCATCACAAGAAGCTCCTTTCGAGGTGCTAACTTCCATGGATGGCATGGATGTCTCAATGAGATGATTACAGTTCCATCTTTGTTAAATTTTTGTATCACTTTTGCTACAGTATTCTGACTGATAAGTAAAGCTTTTCTGATCTTCTGTAAATAAATTATTTTCTTTCTCGGGCCTTGTGACATTCCTCTTCCATGTGGAGCCATTGCTGACAGCATGAAATGGAAAGGAGTTTTCTTTGTTAAGTAACACCCTTTTATAATCAGCTGTCTGCTGGATACCTGTTTAATGAATAATAAGACTCACCTATGTTTGAATTCTTGATTCTTAATCAGGATTTTGTTGTCTAAAATTTAGCTTTGCTCCTAAGACTTTCATTGGGGTGTATTCATTTTTGCAACAGGGTCTTGAATGAATTTGTTAGGAAAAATACTTTTTTTGTGTGTTTGCAATCAATGGTCCACATTTGTGGGAGTATTTTGTAGTATAGTGTCCCACAGAAAACATTGATTCTGAAAGGAAAGTAAAGGTTTTCTGACAAATCTGTACTCATTTATGCTAAACACTGTATAACCAAATGTGTTTTTTTTTCTTATGTAAAAATTGTCTAGATTCAGATTTCTGTATGTATTCTATGTACATTATATTTTCCTGAGCCTACTTCATTACTGAACACAATAAGCATAATAAGATTTTAGATGAAGCAGCACTACAAATAAAGCTTATAATAATGATACTTCTTTGACATGACAAATTTTTAATATTTCTCCTGATCTGATACAACTATGTTATTTTACCCTTTGCCAGCCTATCATTGTGTGCCATAAAGAAAAGAAAATATTCTTATTTAATACAAATGGATACTAATATGGAAGCCTGAAGTTTACTTAGAAAACTCTCAGGATGAGTGTGAAAAATGAATAATATTTATTTATACCATGCTTGGTTGGATCTAAGAATGAGCATTGTTTTCTTTATTTTTCAGTTTAAAAAAAAACTCTTGTTGATTAATCCATAGTTATTTCCAGAAAACCTGCGAAAGCCACCAGGACCTTTACAATAAAACCTTTAAACAAACATATGGCCACATACAACACTGGTAATAGAATTTAACCTCCTTCAAATGAGGGTTTTGATTCTGATGTACAGGGGTATATTTTTGGAAAACAGTGCCTATGGCATGTATTGAAATTCCAACCTGTAATAGGTCCACACTGCTAAAAAAAAATCAAGGCAACATTATATTGAAAGTATTGATATACTGTATATTCATAACATACAGTGGTTAATTTTCTACCACAGCACACTGTAAGAGCAAAGTAATCCTTCTCTACACTGTGACAGTGTAGTCACTCCAGGCTCTAGCTGGTTGACTTATCAATGCTAAGACTGCAGTGCTGTGAGCATCACCTTGCTCTCCCATGTCTCTGTAGGCTCTATGAGTCAGTAATTCAATGTACCCAAGGAGTGGATAATTGTCTCTGAGAATGTTTGCACCATCCCTACTGCTGAATGGAACAGAGCCCCCGTTATTAGCACCCATCCATAAAGTGAATGTGCCATTTCCAATATGCTGAAAGGGGTCCCTGTATTTCACATAAGTGGTGTGCTGCTACAATGAAACCGTAACCAACTATTTTGATCCTTGGCTTTGACCTGTCCCCTTCTTTACCCTGATTTTTGTTGTTGGGGCACTCAACATAGTGATGGACCTAAAAGAGGGCAATAGGAAAAGCCAGTAATCGTCCAACTTGATTGCTGTTTCCTCATCAAAGCACCCCACTTTCTCGGGTCCTCCAACATTTTAGCATGCTTATGCATACACCTGCAGGTTCCAACTTTATCCACTTGCTGTCCCACCACAATACTGTGGCAGGGCAGCACGTACAGGCTCAGTCACGTATATACAGTATATATATGCATTTATGCCTGAAACAAATTATTTAAAATTAATTTGCCTATAGTGTTGCATGACTTAGCAATTGCCAGTTAAAGTAGCATAGTGGCAAATTGCAAAAAAATTGCCTGGTCAAGAAAGGTGTAAGAACTTCCATAGGTCAAGTGGGTAAAGTGCAGTGTCTATTGCATATATTGTTTATGGTCACAGGTTCGCTTTAATATAATTTAGTTATCTTTGATAACCATTGCTGTGTTTGTATTTTCCTAACATCTCTGATGATACATAAAGTAAGTTTGTTTACAGCATGAAACTACTGAGTTTTGTAATCAAACTTTCCTTTAATGCCCTTAACAGCTATTAATATGATTGATGGTAAATATAAGCCATAAAGTCAAATTAAATTTTTGGACTGTTCTGCACCCTTAATTTTGTTATTTTATTTAATACAGTATACTGATTAAATGGCCTTCATGCCAAGTTTGATTAGAGTCAATTGAATTAAGTGCTCTAGCACAGAACTATTAAATTAATACACATGGATACAAGTAATATCATACTTAATAGGGGGAGTGCTAGAAGCCTAATAACAAGACTAAAAACTACAGAACTAAATAAAATGTAGTGTCTGAAGCCATACCACAAGTAATGGCAACCCTTGTCCAATGTTCTGGCATGGTATTTAAATTTTGTAGGGAGATTATATGCCCTTTGGACAATTTCAACTTGCTCAGTACTTGGTCTCCACACTTGCAAATAGATGATCTAATCACTCACACTTTGATTTAACATTCTTTCTGGTAAACTCAAGCCAAAATCCCCACCATTTACATTATCTCACAGAAGTGAGTACACCCCTCACATTTTTGTAAATATTTTATTATATCTTTTCAACTGACAACACTGAATAAATAACACTTTGCTACAATGTAAAGTAGTAAGTGTACAGCTTGTAAAACAGTGTAAATTTGCTGTCCCCTCAAACTAACAACACACAGCCATTAATGTCTAAACTGCTGGCAACAAAAGTGAGTACACCCCTAAGTGAAAATATGCAAATTGGGCCCAAAGTGTCAATATTTTGTGTGGTCACCATTATTTTCCAGCCCTGCCTTAACCCTCTTGGGCATGGAGTTCACCAGAGCTTCACAGGTTGCCACTGGAGTCCTCTTCCACTCCTCCATGATGACATCATGGAGCTGGTGGATGTTAGAAACCTTGCGCTCATCCACCTTCCATTTGAGAATGCCCCACAGATGCTCAATAGGATTTAGGTATGAAGACATGCTTGGCCAGTCCATTACATTTATCCTCAGCTTCTTTAGCAAGGCAGTGGTCATCTTGGAGGTGTGTTTGGGGTCTTTATGTTGGAATACTGCCCTGTGACCCAGTCTCCGAAGGGAGGCGATCATGCTCTGTTTCAGTACATGCTGGCATTCATGGTTCCCTCAATGGACTGTAGCTCCCCAGTGCCAGCAGCACTGATGCAGCCCCTGACCATGATACTCCCACCACCATGCTTGACTGTAGGCAAGACACACTTGTCTTTGTACTCCTCATCTGGTTGCCGCCACACACGCTTGACACCATCTTAACCAAATACATTGATCTTGGTCTCATCAGACCACAGAATATGGTTCCAGCAATCCATGTCTTTAATCTGCTTGTCTTCAGCAAACTGTTTGGGGGCTTTCTTGTGCATCATCTTTAGAAGAGGCTTCCTTGTGGGATGACAGCCATGCAGACCAATTTGATGCAGTGTGTGGCGTATGGTCTGAGCACTGACAGGCTGACCCCCCACCCCTTTAACCTCTGCAGCAATGCTGGCAGCACTCATACATCTATTTCCCAAAGACAACCTCTGGATATGACGCTGAGCACATACACTCAACGTCTTTGGTTGACCATGGCGAGGCCTGTTCTGAGTGGAACCTGTCCTGTCAAACCACTGTATGGTCTTGGCCACCGTGATGAAGCTCAGTTTCAGGATCTTGGCAATCTTCTTATAGCCTAGGCCATCTTTATGTAGAGCAATAATTCTTTTTTTTAGATCCTCAGAGAGTTCTTTGCCATGAGGTGCCATGTTGAACTTCCAGTGATCAGCATGAGAGAGTGAGAGCAATAACACCAAATTTAACACACCTGCTCCCCATTCACAGCTGAGACCTTGTAACACTAACGAGTCACATGACAACGGAGAGGGAAAATGGCTAATTGGGCAAAATTTGGACAATTTCACTTAGGGGTGTGCTCACTTTTGTTGCCAGCAGTTTAGACATTAATGGCTGTGTGTTGAGTTATTTTGAGGGGACAGCAAATTTACACTGTTATGCAAGCTGTACACTCACTACTTTACATTGTAGCAAAGTGTCCTTTCTTCAGTGTTGTCACATGAAAAGATATAATCAAATATTTACAAAAATGTGAGGGGTGTACTCACTTCTGTGAGATACTGTATAAGTTACAATGACTGGCTTTTCAACACTCACAATGCAGTAAGCATACAAAAGTGGACCTTCGCCCCTTTAGATCATCTATGGCTCTGTGCTTAACTACTACCCTCCACTTTATAAATGGGCATTATTTTAGGTTCTTTTTTTATTTTTTTGACAACTTAGGCCTGACCCTGCTCAGCCACCATCATTCTTGCCTAGGCCAGGATGTCATGTTCCTGATGCCTTAGCCTCCTGTGATTTATGTCATATATCCCTGGAGGCTGCAGAAGTAGAGATTTACAGCAGCTGGTGGACAGAATTGCAGTCAGCATTGGTGGCTGGATGCCTGAACCTGAAAGCAGCAGCCAGTTTTCAATGACTGTGAAGGACCAAGATAGTGACATAGAACCTGGGCTGCTGTAACTGATCAGCAGATCACAGCAGGACAAGGCTGGATCTGTTGGGCAGGTGAATTTCC